GCAGTAGTCTCTGAAGCAAATTTGGTGGGTAATCCCAAGGAGTGGTGGGTGGATACTGGAGCAACCCGCCATATCTGTGTACATAAGAAGATGTTCACAACCTACAAAGTGGTGGAAAGTGGGGAACAACTCTTTATGGGAAACTTCTCCACTTCAATTGTGGAAGGACAAGGAAAGGTCGTGCTAAAAATGACCTTGGGGAAATAACTCACACTCAACAATGTACTCCATGTACCAGAAATTCGCAAAAAATTGATTTCTGGGTCATTGTTGATCAAGAATGGATTTAAATTAGTCTTTGAATCTAACAAGGTTGTACTATCCAAGAGTGACATGTATGTGGGGCGAGGTTATATGAGTGATGGGCTTTTCTAGCTCAATGTAAATTCTGTTGTATCAAATTTGACTATTAATAATAAGAACACATCTTCTGTTTATATTGTTGAATCTTCTTTTTTATGGCATGGTAGATTAGGACATGTTAATTTTAATTCTTTGCATAGACTTGTTGCTTTAGAATGTTTACCAAACTTAGAGTTTGATCTCAATCATAAATGTGAGATTTGTGTTGAGGCAAAACTCACTAAAGCATCATTTAATAAAGTAGAAAGAAATACTGAACCTCTAAGTTCAATTCACATAGATATATGTGATTTAAAATTTGTTCAAACTAGAGGAGATAAGAAGTACTTTATTACTTTTATTGATAAATGTACTCGATATTGCTATGTTTATTTATTGAGAAGTAAAGTTGAAGTCTTAGAAGCTTTTGAGCAATACAAACTTGAGATTGAAAATCAACTTGGCAAAACTATTAAGAAAATAAGGAGTGACAGAGGTGGTGAGTATGATACACCATTTGAGGAATTTTGTTCTGAACATGGTATTATTCACCAAACCATTGCACCCTATTCTCCTCAGTCAAATGCGGTTGCTGAGAGAAATAATCGAACTCTTAAAGAGATGATGAATGCCATGTTGATTAGTTCAGTTACTTTAGAACTTGTAGGAAGAGGCGATTTTATCTGCTAACTATATCCTTAATAGGGTATCCTATAAGAAAATCAATCAAACACCTTATGAAGTATGGAAGGGTCGACAACCTACCTACAATTACCTCAAAGTATAGGGGTGTTTGGCCAAATTGGTAGTCCCTAGTCCCAAAACGACTAAGATAGGACCAAAAACTGTTGATTGTGTGTTCATTGGTTATGCAAATAATAGTAGTGCATATAGATTTTTAGTTCATAGATTTGAGAATCCTAATATGTATGTAAACACTATTATTGAGTCAAGAAATGCATCGTTTTTTTAGCACATTTTCCTATACAAGGAAACTGAAGAGACAAGTTCAAATAAAAGAACTTTTGATACTGCTATAGGTAGCAATGAAAATCACAATGATAATAAAGCAGATGAACCTAGACGTAACAAGAGGGCTAGGATATCTAAATCGTTTTGTCCAGATTTTCTAACGTATCTTAGAAAATGAGCCTCAAAACTTCAAGGAAGCAATGTCAAGTCCTGAAACTCCTTTGTGGAGAGAGGCTGTGAATAGTGAAATTGAATCAATATTGCAAAATCATACTTGGGAACTAGTGGATCTTCCACAGGGTGTAAACCTCTTGAATATAAGTGGATATTCAAGAGAAAAATGAAAGCATATGGTTTAATAGATAAATACAAGACTAGGCTTGTTGTTAAGGGATACAGGCAGAAAGAAGGCCTTAATTATTTTTGTACCCATTCGCTAGTGGCAAGAATAACATCTATTCGCTTGTTGATTGCAACTGCAGCTTTGTATAATCTGGAAATACATCAAATGGATGTTAAAACAACTTTTTGGAATGGCGAGTTAGATGAGGAAATCTATATAGAACAACCGGAAGGGTTTCAAGTTCCTGGCCAAGAGAACAAAGGTTTGTAAACTTGTCAAATCCCTTTATGAATTAAAACAAGCTCCGAAATAATGGCATGAAAAATTTGATCACGCTATGCTTTCGGATGATTTTAAGATAAACGAATGTGACAAATGCGTCTATGTTAAAAGCACAGACAAAGGCTATGCCATAGTTTGTCTTTATGTGGATGACATGCTCATTATTGGAAACAATAATGACATGATTAAATCCACAAAGAAAATGCTGAACAAAAAGTTTGACATGAAAGATTTGGGAGTAGAAAATGTAATTTTAGGAATAAAAATTACTAGAATATCTGAAGGATATGCTTTATCTCAGTCTCACTATGTTGAGAAGATTCTAGAGAAATTTGAAAAGCATGATGATTGTTCTGCTAAAACACCTGTTGACATTAGTCTTTATTTGTCAAAAAATATAAGTGCAGGCATATCAAATTAGAGTACTCTCGGATAATCGAAAGCTTGATGTACTTAATGAATTGTACTAGGCCAGATATAGCCTATGTTGTTAGCAAATTGAGTAGATGCACAAGTAATTCAGGGTCCGATCATTGGAAAGCGATAATTAGGGTACTTAGGTATCTAAGGCATACCCAGCATTTATGGCTTGCATTATACCAAATATCCAGCAGTACTCGAGGGGTACGATGATGCTAATTGGATATCGGATACTAAAGACTCAAAATCCACTAGTGAATACGTCTTTACCCTGAGAGGTGTTGCAGTCTCTTGGAAATCCTCTAAGCAGACATGCATAACAAGATCGACAATGGAATTTGAGTTTATCGCATTAGATAAAACAGGAAAAGAAGCAAAATGACTTCGTAATTTCTTAGAAGACATTCCAATGTAGCCTAAACCTGTGTCAGTTATATGCATTCACTGTGATAGTGAAGCAGCAATAGGACAAGCACAAAATCATATGTATAACGGTAAGTCTCGACACATTCGTCGAAGACATAATATCGTTAGGCATTTGCTCTCGCATGAAATAATTTTCATAGAATATGTAAAGTCAAAGGCGAATATTGCGGATCCATTGACTAAATGGCTAGCCGGAGAGCAAGTGTACCATTTATCGAGGGGAATAGGATTAAAGCCTATTACTTAAAAGTTGCCATAATGGTAATCCAACCTAGTTGACTGGAGATTTCAATATCTAGATTCAAAGAGATAACCGAATTATGGATGACTTCACGTATCGTTAAAGAGGTTTACTCCTATCCATTTCTATGATAAGAAGAATGATACCTGCAGCGTTAGTAGGATAAGCTTTGCTTTTAATGATTCTTATAGCTTGGACATCCAAGTGGGATATAGCAGGATACTCTTAATAAGAAATCACCTATATGAGTGTGAACTGGGCCGGTTCTGTGAGAATTGAGAAGGCTAATTTCTCTAGAGCACTCAAGAATTAACAGGCGTTGTTCAGGACCAAAATGAATACAACCGTAAGAACCAAACTATGTTTGCGAATACACTATGTGTAGTCTATTGTCTTGACTTACACAAACAGCTGAATAGTTCAAGACATCGCATCCACTGGTTAACTAGTAAGTCCGATAGGTTTTCACTAGAGGAGGTTCAAAGCCAAAAGCTACCTATCTCGATGTGGTGTATCCTCTTAATGTACTATTTCTTTGTTTGCATCTTGTTACATGTTCATTATCGTAAATTTCATTCATGTGGGGGATTGTTAGAAAATGACTTTAGAAAATTCTTATTTTTTGCTAACTTTGAGCATTAATTAAGTAGGACCCAAGCGTTATTTTTAACATTTTTCATTGGGTTCATGTTTAGTACTGCGTAGTGAATAAAACCGTGTATTTGGTTGCTCAAAACCATTTCCGAATGCATGAGAATTCAACGCGCTTTTTCGGGTTCGTGGAATGGCTTTAGGTGGGTTTCCTACACATTTGTGAAATGTGCTTGTCCTACATTGGAAATGCTTAAGGTTTTGAATAGGTTTATATACCTTAGCTTGGGATACTTGGGATGGGCCCCAAGGGGTACCCAAGTTTGTGGAAGTGTGAGATTATGGGTAAAATTGGCTAAACACACTGGACCCAAAACAAAAATCACACGCCTACGCCCATACCGCCGTCTGTTCGGTGGGTCGGGCAGGTTGGACTGGGCCTGGGCGCGTGTAACAACCATCACGTATAATGATTAGCACTTAATTAATTAAATAAATTTGAAATTTGATTGCCAATTATTATGACTTAATCAAGATTCACAAAAATTATAGAGATTGATTCATATATGATTCTATTAAAGATTTATTTTAAAATTAGAAATTAAGGGTCCAATGATTAGCACTTAACTAATTAAATAAATTTGAAATTTGATTGCCAATTATTATGACTTAATCAGGATTCATAAAAATTATAGAGATTGATTCATATATGATTCTATTAAAGATTTATTTTAAAATTAGAAATTAAGGATCCAAATGGCTTAAGGAAGTGAAGTTAAGAAATTGAATCAATTTAATCTTAATTACGGACCCATTTGGGAGTTTAATTAAATATTCGATTCAGTTTAGTAAAATTGAGATTCGATTAATTAGATTCTAATTGGAGTTAATCAAGTTAATTAAATTATGAAGATTGGGAATTGTGATTATTACGAATTAAATTTATTTATGGAGTGTCCAATTTGAATATGTAATTTAATTGACTAAAGTTTGAAATCTGAGCAGAAATTGCAGGTCTAAATGATTTGAAAAATCAAAATTGATGATGACAATAAGTTTAATTTAATATTTGGAGCCTTTTTTATTAAAAATCTGATTCAGATTAATAAATTTAAATATAATTAATTGGGCTCTAAAGGAAGTCAATTAAATTAATTAATTTATGTGAGATTTGTGATTGGGCTGATTAAGATTAATTAAAATTAGATGATGTCCAATTAAATTAAATGTAAATGATTTATTAATTTACTTTTAATAAAATTATATTACAAAGGAACGTTGGTGTTGGAAGTCCAAGGCAACAAATATATATATATATATATATATTATCAAGCCATGTGTGTGCCCGAAAAACAGAGCCGAGAGAAAAGAAAGAAAGAGAGAGAAAGAGAGAGAGAGAGAGAGAGAGAGACTTGTGTTGGAGAATTCAAGTCAAGGGAAAGAAAATTCAAGAACGGAAAATGGAGGATCATCAAGAATCTATCAAATTAACGGTTAAATGTGAGGATTTCAACCTTGATTTTGTAGAACTCATGTATTACACTTGAAACTAATGATGAGATTAAGTTCAATTTCATATAATTGGGAAAAAATTAGACAACGAAGATGAAGATATTAAGTTAGGTTTATGGTTTGGAAATTAATTATTTTGGGTTTAATGTTGTGATCTTACATGAGATTAAGCCTCATTGTTACATGCATAAATAAATTCAACAAGTTTTATATATGCATCATGGATTTTAAAGAATTTGGACTAATTTAATCTCATATTTTGAAAAGAAAAAGGAAAAAGGAAAAAGGAAAAAGAAAAAAGCTTTAGAAAGATCTAACTTATGGAAATTTGGAATTAATCCTAAAGTGAGACAAAATTTTGATTTTATTATGAAAATTATGAATTTGTTTGATCCATGCATGAAATTGAATTTAAAAGTTTTATTCAATTTAAACACACTTTGGAACATCTATGATCATAAATTAAGTTTTGGCTATAGATTGAGTTAAATTGAAGATGAAATAGAGAGTTAAGGAAGAAATCAACTAATTTTGCTAAAATTAAAGTTTAAGGTATGAAATTTATGTTTGATTTTAAAGAACCCTTGTGTTACATTTGAAATTAAAAATGAGTTTAAGATCAATTTCATGTAATTGAAAAGAAATTAGCGGGAAGATGGTGAAATTAAATTAGATTCATGATTATGGAAATTAATTTAGAAATTAATTATTTTGGGTTTAATTTTAGAATATCATGCATGAATTGAGTCTAATTTCTACATGCATGGACAAATTCTACAAGTTTTAATATTCTAATTGTACATGCATCATGCATTTCTAATAATTGATTTCATATTTTGATGAAATAACAATTAAGCTTTGGAAATTTATGGATTTATGAACAATGAGTTTAATTTATAAATTAAAGGAGTTTTGATGTAAATGATTTGAACTTGATCATATTTTCTTGATTTTTGAAGAGTTTGTATGTTTTAGACAAGCCATGTATGAATCCAAGTTTTGAAATTATTTTGAAAGCTCAATTCAAGTTTTAGAATTTGTGAGTTTGGAATTGGGCTTGATATGAAGAACATAAATTGAGTTGAATTTGATGAATTCGAAGTTGTATTTATATGCATGTAAAGGATTGTCATGAGTTTGCATATTTTAGTACAAACATGCATTTTATAATGAATTGAAGGCTATTTGGCACATGTAAGCATGATAATGTTGAATTTCATGAAGTTGATCATCAATTGTACTATTTAAGTTGAAAATGAAACCTAAGTCACATGCATGTATATTTCAAAATGATATGAAAATTAATTTGCATGAACTTTGAAGTTATGAAGTGAGTTTAATATGATTCGAGTTTGTGAGATGGATTCATGTAAATTTGAGATTCAAATCCTGTAAAATTGGCCCTTATATTCATGTTAAAAGTTATATGGTGGAAATATAAGTCTTATGATATTAATTACATTGGTTGGAACCAAGTTTTGAAGCTCAAACATAATCTGAAAAAACCCAGAATTTGACTTGTCCGCTTGAGTGTACCCTGTTTTACTTGACTCCTTGCTCGAGCGTCTGTAGACATCCCATTTTTTACCGTCCTCAAGACTTGGATGTGCCTGCAGGTACATCCAGCAACAAGTTTGATTGTTCGCCGAGCACTCGAATTTTGCAGCGGAACGTCACAGATTTGAGCTTTCCAAACCCTGTTTCATTTCTACCCCATTTTTGGACCATGCTTTGGTCTCTCCTTAGTGCTTGTTTTAGTGCACTGCCAGCCATGATCAAGGGCTGCCGGCCATGGTATCTACCCTGCCAGCCACAGATAGGCCCGGTCGGCTATTAATGAGGCACTGTCGGCCACCACTGATGGTCGGCCGGCCACCATTATTTCAACAGATATATTTTAGATATTTTGAGCCAGCTGTGGCTCACTGAGCCATCCTCCATACACGTGTATGAAGAGATGAAGACAAGTTTCAAGCTTGTCAAGCAAGCTTTTGCTTACATTGCTTATATAAGGGGAGGCCCCTCTCCCTCTCCAGGGGTTCAGAAAGTTTAGAGACCAAAATATCCATCTCTCTCTAGAATTCTCACTCTCTCTCTCTCTCTATATATATATATTGTGCTCAATAATGCCTTAAAGTGTGTTTTCTTCACATTTTTGCAAAGGAACACCTAGTCAAACACCACTACCTTGGAGCTGAGGTTCTTCAAGGTTTGTTTGGAGTTCAAAAGGCTGGTTTTTGGGCTCAGAAGTTGTTCTCTTGCTACTGTGCTTCAAGGGTGAGTATATTTCCCTTTTAAGCTTGTGTTTGTATACCATATTAGCCACCTTTGCATGCTGTTTTAGGCCTAGCTTTCAACTACAAAAGGCTTTATTTTTAAGTGTTAAAAATGGTTGTTTGAGGCCTTGTGGGAGTTGGGGGTGTTTCACCCCTTGTATGCCTTATTTGTTAAGCTCTTGAGCTATCCTTTGAAGCTTTTGTAATAGCCTTTGCATGGCCTTTCTACCACTGAAACTCAGTGGAATTTCAATGGTGGAAAGGTGGTTTTGCGGTCCAAAATGGGAGGATGTGGTCCCCTCTCCTCTTGCCTTGCTTGCTTGTGTTGTTGGCCTACCAAATGAGCATGTGTTTCTACTTATTTGTGGCTTGTTCAAGCATTTTTTTGTGACCTTTTAGACCTGCCATAACTCTGTTTTAGGTTGGTTTGGCTATTGCTTGCATGCTTCTTACACTTGTGGTGTAATTTTGCTAATTGGCCTAACATGCTTGATGCTTTAACCCACTATTCTAGCTTATTTTGGCTGCACTCCAGCAAGCTTTTACTCATGTTTTTCCATACTTAAGCTCTGTTTTAAGTGATTTTGTTCATACATGCCTTGCTTTGTATAGCTATAGTGTAAAGGCCTTTGACTAGCTTTGAGTTTCAAAGTCCCTAGCATGCTTTATATGTGATGATTACATGCCTTAGCCTCTTTTCTCACATGATTTCAGTGTGTATGGCATAATCACACTCTCACATATTTCACTCTTTCAATGCTTTTGAGAGATGTTCTTTATGCCTTGTTTGTGAGCCAATATGTATGCATGCTTATCTAAGCTTTTAGGCTATCATTTTAGCATGTTTTGGCTTTTGATTTGGCATGGTTGAGCTCTATCTAGAGCTGGTTTGGTTGTGTCACGACCCAAACCCGGCCCTATGGGTTTAGCACCGTAACCGGCCAGTAATCCGAGATTACCAAAGGCCTGTAGAACAGTAGAACAGTAAAACAGAGTACAGGGCCTGGCGGAAGCCAAAACAGTAAAGAAACAATGTCCAATGAGCTGTGACAGTCTGTATGCAAAAAGACTTTTCATATATTTGTACGTAATCAGTACAGAACAGTATGCACAAATTGTACAATCATTCAGACTAGGGACTCAACCCTTTACATAACAGTGCAGTAAACACGCAGTCTATACAATCCATTCGGTTATTACAAAACAGTAAGACAGTACAGAAGGGGGAATTGCAAAACACCCCTAAGCCTTAACACGATAGGCTCGGAACCTCGCAGTGAGGCACATAGGCTGGCTTGACAAAACTGGAGTAACCCTGACGCTCCTAGCCGCGATCTGGTGCCTGTACACCTACATATATATGAGCAGTGAGCTAAAGCCCAGTGAATAACATAATGCGTAAAGGTGTTAAGATGAATGTCCTTGTAGTAATGAAAACAGTTCATTAAATCAGTATTTCAGTCGTTCAGTCAGTATAGTCATATGTGGTACACCCATTAGCATAACAGTACAGTAAGCAGTAGGTCTTAAAAGACCGAACAGTAATGATGGCCATCAGTCAGTAAACAGTAGTGGTTCCAACAAGGGAACCGACAGAGAATTCTGTCACAGTAACAGTAAACAGTAGGTGCTAAGGATGCCACAATACAGTTCAGAATATAGGACATACATTCATTCAATAACAGTAATCAGTTCAGAAAATAGTACAGTTCAGTTGTTCAGAAGATAATCATTTGTGAACATATCTTTACACAATCGTTACTCAGAGTTTGGGCTACGGTATGCTAGAGCGTGCCTCCCCAGTCGCCAACCCTACACAGTTAACAGATTGAACACACTAAGCTACACAGCTGGGAAAGATAGTAACTTAACCCCCAATGCCTCGGTGTGTTCTACATCTATATCCTCAGTAAGATGCCTTAAACTAGGCCTAAGAATGCCTAGAAATGAGATGAGGGATGCAAAGATGCACATTTATAAGCATTTTCAGGATTTTCAGAAAAACAGAGTCCCGCTCGAGCTCAGGTTTCCCCGCTCGAGCGGTCATGCAACAAAGGTACACGCTCGAGCGTCAAATATCCCGCTCGAGTGTGCTGTAAAGTACTGGATGGGTGAAATCTCTGCTCGATGGGCGCTCGACGCCCGCTCGATCGTGAGACATATGCCTCCGCTCGAGCGCCCAATCCTCCGCTCGAGCGGACTGTAAAACAGTGCAGAGAAAATACTGGATGCTCGGATTCTACGCTCGAGCGCCACTTGTCCCCGCTCGAGCGGAAGTGCAAAACCTGGAAAACCCAGATTGCACCTCAAGCCAAAAACCAAGTTTTAACAACTCAAAACTCGACCTCTTGGGCTGAATTTCCAGAAAACATTTGTTAAACACATAGTTAAACATGATTCAAAACTCAATTTGAGAAATCAAAGTCCAAGGGTGTTTAATTCAAACTCAATTTCAAACCATTTTTCAAGAACAAGATGAACATGCAAGCATGCATGAATTCAAATCACTTTGAAGCTTCAATTTGATGCTCTAAGAAGCCAATTGATCCAAAAACAAGATGAAAACATGGACTATTACAAAATCATGGACATGCATGTAACAATTTGCCATGAACTCAACTCA